GCAACAAGGGTTTCATGCATTATCATGTTCAAATTATGTGTTGGACGGATTCAGGACAATGAGCGTGCAACAATCACGATGGTTCGCGGTGCTGAAGTCCTGGGAATGGCGTTCTGGCACGATTCAGGATCGTCCAATACGCGACAGTCAGGTTGATCCGTGGCGTTGGAATCCCGACAGCAATGTTTTGGAATACTTTAGGGTCTTCAAGCGGTTGTGTTCCAGCGAGGCATTTCCCTCAGTGGGAATGAACCGCTGTAGGGGCCTACGAGGCGGGAGCTTGGAGGGATTGTTTATTCCAATGTCGTTGATGGCTTGGGTTTACACTGGTCCTCTTCCTCCTTCCTCGTCCGCCTCCTCCTCCTCCTCCCCCTCCTCCTCCACCTCCTCCTCCCCCTGCTGCTCCTCCTCCTCCTCCTCCTCCTCCTTCTCTTCCTCCTTGTCTTCCTCGTCTTTTTCTTCTACTTCTTATCTTTCCTCTTCCTCCTCCTGCTCCTCCTCCTCCGCCTCCTCCTCCTCCTCCGCCTCCTCCTCCCCAGCCCAGCCCGGCAATGACCAAAAGGGAACGGCGGAGGGAGGAAAAAGGAGGCGGAAGCCCAGCCGAGCCCGGTCCGCACCAGTGGCCCAGTAAGGACGGGGAGGGAGGGAGGGAGGGAGCGACTGGGCGAGCGCGCACCGTAGGTCCGACGGACTAGCCGGTGTAGATAACCTCTGTAGAGCAGCAGGGGGGAAGGAGGGAGGGAGGGTGGGGAGGAGAGGGGAGGGGAGGGAGGGGAGGGAGGGGAGAGAGGAGGGGAGAGGGAGGAGAGGAGAGGGAGGAGAGGGAGCGGAGCGGAGAGGGAGGAGAGGAAAGGAGAGGGAGGAGAGAAGAGGGAGGAGAGGGGAGAGGAGAGGGAGTGGAGGGACAGTGGGGAGAGGAGAGGGGAGGGAGCGGAGAGGAGAGGAGAGGAGAGGGAGGGAGCGGAGAGGAGAGGATGGAGAGGGGAGGAGAGGACAGGGAGGAGAGGGAGGAGGGGGCAATATAGGAAGGGGAGGGGGAGGATGGCGAGGGAGGCGACGCAAGGAAGAGGGGCTGGGACCACTCCCGCGACTGCTCGACGAGCAGGACCTCCTCCTGCGCCCGCCGCCGCTCCTGGCGGCCCAGGTGCGTGCAACGGCATCGACGACGAGATTCACGACGAACGACGACGGACGACGACGACGACGACGACGACGACGGCGACGACGGCGGCAACGACGACGACGACGTCTGCGACGACGACGACGACGACGACGACGGCGTCGGCTACGTGCGTGCGACGGCATCGACGACGACGACGGACGACGACGCGACGACGACGGGTGCGACGACGACGACGACGACGACGACGACGACGACGACGACGACGACGACGACGACTACGTGCGTGCGACGGCATCGACGACGGCGGACGACGACTACGACGACGACGATGACGATGAACGGACGACGGACAACGGACGACGGACGACGGACGACGACGACGAGATCGACGACGGACGTCGACGGACCAGGACGACGACGACGACGGCTGCGACGACGACGCCGACGACGGTTGCGACGGACGACGACGACGTCGACTACGTGCGTGCGACGGCATCGACGGCGACGACGGACGACGGACGACGACGGCTGCGACGACGACGACGGCGACGACGACGGCGGCGGCGACGGAAGACGACGACGACTACGACGACGACATCGACGGCGACGGCGACGACGACGGCGACTGCGCAAGTGCGACTGCATCAACGACGAAGACGGACGAGGACGACGACGTCGGCGACGACGGCGGACGGGCGACGGGCGACGGACGACGATTGTCGACGACGACAACGACGAGGGCGGCGACGACAACGATGACGACGACGACAACGGCTGCGACGACGACGACGACCACGTGCGTGCGACGGCATCGACGACGACGACGGACGCCGACTACGACGACGACGACGACGACTACGACGACGACGACGACGACGACTACGACGACGACGACTACGGAGGGACGACGGACGAAGAACGACGACGCCGACGAGGCTGACGACGGACGACGACGGACAACGACGACGACGACTACGTGCGTGCGACAGCATCGATGGCGGCGGTTGCGACGCCGACGACCACGACGTCGACTACGCGCGTGCGACGGCGACGACGACGGACTACGACTACGACTACGACTACGACGACGACGACGACGACGACGACGGACGACGAACGTTGGACGACGGGCGACGGAAGACGGACGACGGCGGAAGACGACGACGAGATCGACGACGGACGGCGACGGACGACGACGACGACGATGACGACGGCGACGACGACGATAGCTGCGACGATGACGACGACGCCGTCGACTATGTGCGTGCGACGGCATCGGCAACGACGACGGACGACGACGACGACGACGACGTCGGACGACAATGACGACGACGGACGGACGCACGACGGACGACGGACGACAACGGACGACGACGACGACGACGACGACGGCGGCGACGACGACGACGACGGCTGCGACGACGACGACGACGACGACGACGACGACGACGACTACGTGCGTGCGACGGCATCGACTACGACGACGACGGCCGACGGACGACCACGACGACGACAACGACGACGACGGAGGGACGACGGACGACGGACGACGACGACGACGAGATCGACGACGGACGACGGTGGACGGCGGCGGCGACGACGACGACGACGACGACTACGACGACGACGTCGATGACGACGGCGACGACGGCGGCGACGACTACGAGGACGACGACGACGTCGCTTACGTGGGTGCGCTGAAATCGTCGACGACGGCGACGACGATGGATTGACGACGGACGACGGACGACGGACGACGACGACGACGACGACGACGACGACTAAGTGCGTGCGTCGGCATCGTCGGCGATGTCGGACGACGACGATGACGACGACATCGACGGACGGACGGACGGACGGTCGACGGACGGTTGAAGACGGACGACGGACGACGGACGACGACGACGACGACGATGGCGACGACGACGATGACGACGACGACGGACGACGACGGCGACGACCACCTCCACGACGACGACGACGACGACGACGGCAGAGGCGGCGGCAGAGGCGGCGGCGGCGGCGACGACGACGACGACGGACGACGGACGACGAGATCGACGAGATCGACAAGGATGACGGCGTCGACGCCGACGACGACGACTACAACGGCGGCGGCGACGACGACGACGACGACGACGACGACAGAGGACGACGTTGACGATGACGACGTGACGATGACGACGGCGACGACGACGACGAATGCGGTGACGGGGTCTTTGATCCTCTTTGGGGCTCGTGGGGGAGCATCCTGGAGGAGTCAATGGACCCTCGCAAGAAGCCGGGCGAAAATGATGATGATGATGATGATGATGATGATGATGATGATGATGATGATGACGATGACGATGACGATGACGAAGACGAAGACGAAGACGAAGACGATGATGATGATGATGATGATGATGATGATGATGATGATGATGATGATGATGATGATGATGATGATGATGATGATGATGATGATGGCGCCTCGGGGCGTGGCCGCGCCCATGGCCACGGCCAGCGCTGGCGGCGCCGCGCGCTCGCCGCCCCTCGCGGCGGCGCCGCGCCCCCGGCCACGGGAGGCGCTTCGCCCGCGGCGCCCTATGGACCCTCACAAGAAGCCTTTCTTGGGAAGCCTCCTGGGAACCTCCACGGGGGGCTGCCTCTGGAGGACCTCCCAGGGCCCCGAGGGCCCGACCCTCGAGGCGGACCGCCTGGGGCTGGCCCTCTCGAAGCCTTCTCCATTTCCTCCTCATCCTCCTGCCACTCATCCTTCCTCCACCGTCGAGGAGGCGGAGGAGGAGGCGGAGGAGGAAGAGAGAGGAGGAGGAGGGAGGAGGAGGAAGAGGAGAAGGATGAGGATGAGGATGAGGATGAGGAGGATGAGGAGGATGAGGAGGATGAGGAGGAGGAGGAGGAGGGAGGAGGGAGGAGAGAGGAGGGAGGAGGGAGGAGGGAGGAGGGAGGAGGAGGTAGAGAAAGCGAAAGAGGAGGAGGGAGGAAGAGGAGGACGAGGGAGAAAGAGGAGGACGAGGAGGAAGAGGAGAAGGAGGAGAAGGAGGAGGAGGAAGGAGGAGAAGGAGGAGCCCGTCCCCCTCACCGTCCCCGAACCCCCTCCCCCGACCATCCTGCGTCGCCTCGCCCACGCGCCTCGCGACTCGAGTGTGTGGCTCCAGGGATTCCCGGAGCGCTCCCCAGCACCTTGCAGCACTCAACGCGTTCTCTGTGTTCGCCAACACTCTGACATCCTCGGTCAAATGTCGGCGCGCAGAGGGGGTCAGTGGGAGGGGGGACGGCTTCTTAGAAGGAGGCTGCTTCTTAGAAGGCGCCAGCCTTACATCTACAGACAAGGCCCGCGCCTTCCTAGAAGCAGGGGTACTTCTAAGAAGCCTTCCCCCCTCCCCCCACCCCTCTCTGCGCGTGGCTGAAACTCTTCGAGATCCTCAGTCAGATCTCCTGCGTCATGATACACTATAAGTTCGCGACGTGGGTCCCAGAGCTCTCGACCCCATGCCCACAACACATAATGGAGCATGTATGCCGCCGACATGCACTGCACAATGATTCTGGAAAAGCATACTCACGTCAAGGCCAAACTCGGACAACTTGAGACTCATATGCCAACCGCAATGTCGTGATCACAATGGTCACGGGCAGACCAATGATATTCGTGCAGTGCCTACTACCCGTGACTGCATGCATACCGATATCTTGTCTTCAGGCCTGTTGCACGGCTCAATTACAAATCCTGTAAGGAGACATCCGGCGACCAATCAGTGTGCATGCGTGCACGCATGTGTTTGCGCATGCACTTAGAGGCGCATTTTCTCGCATGCGCGCAACAGCAACTCCAGATAATCGCATAACTACCCTGCAACGGTACTGGAGTCGATCAGTGGGCTCGGAAAAGTTTGTCAAGTAGCGCGTGCTTGTTATCTATCGACTGGGAGCTCTCTTTAAGACTCAATATCTTGGCTTGCAGGTCTGTTTTTTCCTTCTCGAGCTCTGCATCGCTCTCCATAACGCAGCTTTGGAACACTGTGAAGTTATACGCATCCATGTCGATAACTTTGCTCGCAGAACACTCGCTGACCGTTTGACCAAAGCTCAAGTCGCCCCCAACTAGGCAGCTGCCGTCCTCAGAGGCAACTTCCTCCTGGATGCGCTTGAAGTCGTCCAGGTCCTTTGCAGCCGCACACCTCGAAAGCCACAAGCTGGGCTTGTTGGTGTTGGTGCTGGCGCACTTGGCGCACTTCAGGGTCCTCGGCATCTTGCCGATGATCTCCGTGCAGGTCAACTTGGACTTGAACTTGTCGAGTTCAGCCTTCGTGCTGTGCCTGAACCTGGCCTGCGTGTAGTATGTGCCTGTCTCGTACATGTAGTCCCAATATGGTTTGTCGGCTGCAGCAATAATCAGACGATCTTCAGTCGTGAAATCCGTGCACGCGAGAAGCGCATCATCACTTTCAAACATTTTGGCATGACGGGCTCCCTCGACCACGCCGAGAGTGAGAGCAAAGAGCACGACGTTCAACCGTGCCATTGGAAGACCTCGCACAGAACCTAAAGACGAGGAAACAATTTAGCAAACTTCAAGTGCAAGCTTGAACCGAGATTGCTGAAACGGCTACAGCTGCGCAGAAGTGGAAACACTTTTTGCCTCGAGGGCGCCAACAGAAAAGGTCGTGGGCACTCAGTGGACGGGCCGTGGCCTGGACTGCTGACAAATGGCCGTACACAATATCTCGACGGACGGCACGTGTGAATGCTTCTGCCCATGGGGTCGAGCATGTTCTCTGGACCGGGAGGCTGAACAGAAAAGTGCTTCACGTGATTGCGGGCCTATAGAAGGATGGCGGCGCGCGCCAGGCGCAAAGAGGCCTGAAACGCTACGAAATGATGGTCTCAAGCACTCTTTAGCCCCCGGGGGTCTGGGCACCGAGGTGGGCTTGCCCCACCGCTGGGACAACGTTCGCCGCGATGCTTTGCGCCGCCCCCGGGCAAGCCCCTGGAAGGGGGAAAGTCACTCGGGGAACTCTTCCCAGCCACTAGCTGAACAAAAACACCCCACTCAGGCCCGCCCGCCCGCCCAAAGCCAAAGCCAGCCACATGCAACAGGTTTTGTTCGCAAACCACCTCCTTTCCACCCCTGTCTGAACGCCTGATCCTCATCCTCTTCTCAGGCACACGCTAACATGGATTACGGATCCGAGGATCTGGCGCGTGAGCGCCAGATCTATGTCCGTAAGGTGAAAAGGAGTGCTAAGCGGCAGCGTTTTCCGCGAAGGCCCTAACGCAACATATCCCGTGTGTCCAAGCAGACGTGCAATTACAAATCTTGGTTTGTTGCACTGTTCGGTGTCAGTATAAAACGAGCCGGATCCACGCCCCATCCACGGTCCCAAGGTGGTGGACTTGTTCTGAGGCAGCGCCTTCCGGAACCATGTTGGCTCAATCTTCATCCTCTTCCTCCTCCATCGCCCATGCCGCGCGCGTTTTATTGTTGCCTATTTTTCATCATATGTCATGCTGCACGCTGTCTTTGGGTAGCACGTGTCACAAGAATGTAGCATCAGGGGTAGCTTCATGAAGCTCTGTCCGCCACGCGAAACGAAACGAAAAAGGAAGAGAAACCAAAGGACATCGATGATTTGGGCTTCTTCGGCTTTTTGAGGGTCGGAGGAGGTCTCGAGACGGCTCTGGAGCGTCTGTAGATGACCCAAGATGGCTCCAAGACGGCCCAGGATGGCCACAACATGGCCCAAGAGGCCCCAAAGACACGGCAACAGAAGCCCTGAAGATGGACCAGGAGGGCTCCAAGAGGAGCACAAAGAAGGTCCCCAGTGGCAACACACCCGATGTGTATGTATACAGATATAGCTGCAAACATGCATACACACATACATACATACATACATACATACATGCATGCATGCATGCATACATACATAATTACATACATACATACATACATACATACATACATGCACATACACATATGCATATCATGCACACAGGCATATACATTTATATATGCGTATACCTGTTTGTACATATGCATGTACACATACGTACATCTACAATCACACATACATGTCCATTTACGCACATATACTTATACACATACACACACACGTATATAGCAAACAAACACATATGCATGAGCATATGCATAGACGTATACGCAAACACATACATATACATACATACATGCACGCATACAGACAATCAACCAGCCAAATGACCACACACATACACACATACAAACACACATGCATGCATGAATTCATGCATACATACAACCACACATACATACTCACATACACACACATACGCATATGCATACATGCAGACATGCATATACACTTACATACATACATACATACATACATACATACATACACACATACATGCATACATACATACATACATGCATGCATGCATGCATGCATGCATACATACATACATACACATACAATCTGGCAACATACGCACACTCACACACATATACATATATATATATATATATAACATATTTGTACATATATATATATACATATAGATATATATATATATATATATATATATATATATATATGTTCGATCCCCCCTGTGTCGGGCCCTCCGCCAGGAATCGCTTTGCCAGGGGCCCGAGCCCTACCCCGGCACGCCTCCCACAGGCGGAGGGCCAAGCATGCCCCTCCATTGTGCACGGCGATGCGCCGGCTGGGAAAGGCACGCCTGGGCACCCCCGGAGGCTGCAAGGACACTCCGCGCCTGGGAAGACCTGTCGAGGGCGAGGGTCTGGCAAGGCGGGTCCCGAGGCGTTTGCAGGCGCCAAGGACCGCCTTTACTCGCCAGCCTCTCACAAAGACCTCCTCGATCGTTGTCGGGAGGGCCGAAATGACTGCAAGGCTTAAACGTGAATTAAATGGCGGGCTCGTTCCGGAAAGGGGAGCCTCTTGGCCCCCTTGTAACGATACGTACCATATGCTCTACCCCACCTGTTTTGAGCGCTCCGCCAGGAATCGCTTTGCCAGGGGCCCGAGCCCCTCCCCGGCAGGCCTCCCGCAAGCGGAGGGCCAAGCATGCCCCTCCCTTGCGCACGGCGAAGCGCCGGCCGGGAAAGGCACGCCTGGGCACCCCTGGGCGCCGCAAGGACACTCCGCGCCTGGGAAGACCTGTCGACGGCGAGGGCCTGGCAACTACTCTCAGACCCTTAACTGGGCACCCCGACAGCAACTTCTACCCCACGAAACTTCCTGTGTGCATCTTCCTCCTCCTCGTTCCTCATCCTTCTTGAAGGTTAGGATAAGGGAGGGGAAAGCGGCGGGCAGACAACAAGCGATTTTGCACTCGCTGTGCCAGCTGCAGGCAGCGGTTGCGCTGGGCGGGCGAGAGGTCGAGCGTCGTCGCCTCTGCCACGGCGCCCTGCACGCACAGCCTCGCCGCGCGGACGTTCGCCCAGCGCCCCCAGAGGAGCGTCGTCTCCATCGAGCCGTGGGCGCGGAAGTCGGCCGACGCGCCGCCACGCCTCCTGCTGCGCAGCGTCAGCTTCTGGCCGTAAAGCTCCAGAAGGGCCCAAGCCTCCGCGAAGACGCGGTGGAACGCTGCCGGCGACATGCCCAGCGCTCGCTCCTCGCACTGCTCGCGCCCCTGCGAGGAGCCGCGGCGCTGCCCGCGCGCCGTCGCCAGCCGCTGCACCGCCAGCCGGGAGCGCACCATCACGAACTCACCAGCTCCTGTCTGGCGCTGGCTCTTGGTGTCGCGCAGCCTGATCATTGCCGCGCCGCTGATCTCATACAGCGTGATGTCTGCCCACTGAAGGGCCAAAATCTCCCCCGTCTGGAGGTAGGGTGTCGCACGCGGCAAGCAGCACCGCCGCGGCCGAAGGGAAGCCCTCGACGACGAAACCGCCACAGAACGCCACCGCGATGAGCGGGCCAATGGGCAGCGCACGCCCGGCTGGTTCCTGACGCTGCCACGCCCGAGCCAAGCGCCAGAACTCCCGCAGGTGGCCTCGCAGCAGGGGAAGTGGTAGCACGCCCCAGCGATCGCGGTTTTCACCTCGAACAGCAATTTTTCAATTCCCCTGCTGCCCAGCGGCCTTCAATGTAGTCCACGAGGCCCGGTCCGCCTGGCCTGGCGTCGTGACCTCCCGCGTCTGCTCCAGCCGCCAGTCGAAGACGCTGTTGACTGCCTGCCGGTGCCGTTGGCGCGTGAGCGGCGTCGCCATCGCCTCGCGGAGGGGTCGACTCTGGGCCGCAGTCCTCCGCGCCCGCGCCTTTGCTGCCACTCTCCTCGTCTTGGCTGCCGCGCGCGCCTGCCGGCCGCTGCCGCTGGAAGCTCGCGGCGATCCGCCAGGCCCACAACGAAGTTCGCAGTTCGCAGCGCCAACCTCGGCCAGGCGCGCGCCCTGTACGGGGCGTCGCAGTCCAGCCTGACGCCCGTGCCCCCGCGGTCGGCGACGCGCGAGAACTCAATGATAAGGCTCCGCTCCGCCGTGGAATGCCGGGGGCCCGGCCGTTTGAAGTCCGCGTCGATGTTCCAGTTGGCCTCTCGCTCACCGACGCGCGAGCATAGCTCTCCCGGCGGCCCCGCGGCGAGGGCCCCGACTCGGGCCGGCCAAGAGCCAAGGAGGAACGCGACGCACTGGGCGCAGAAGGTATTGCTGACGAGACCTTCCATAATGATAGCCCGCTCTTCAGGCGCAACGCTGTCCTTGACCGCGGCCTCGAAATAGCGGCGGCCGAACCCCATGATAACGCCGCGCTCCAAGGCAACAGGCAGCCTACCCTGCGCCAGGGCGCGGCCCCACAGTTGGGCCGCGTCCTCGTAGTTGCACACCTGGTAGCCGTAGCTATCTTTGACCCAGCGCCCCTGCGCAGCAGCTGTTGCCCGCTCCAGACCCACCGGGCGCAGCGGCGGATGGCGCCGCAGCATAGGCCAGGTGAAGCAGGGCAAGTCCACCTCCGGGCCCAGCAGCTGCCCGCCCGCCAGCGGCCAGTGCTCCGCGGGCGCGCGCTGCATCGCGACCTCCACCTTCAGGTAGCGGCTGAGACCTCCGCCCTTCTCGGCGACCACCGCGCCGGGCGGCAGGTGCTCAGCGGCGGGCCAGGAGCGCCAGAATAGACGCGGCCGCCGCACACGTGTGAAATGCTTCGCGTCCAGCAGCAGCGGGATGACCCCCAGCGCCTCTGTGAACTGGCCCCTCGCCTCCACGCCCATGCTGAAGACGTTCTCGACGAACTAGCCCACGCGCCTGGCGAACGCCCGCTCGGCAGTCTCGATGAGCTCGGGGATCTTCCTGAACGGCTTCGACGTTTCGCCCTCGAGGCCCTTGCCGACCACGCTCAATCCCAGACCCCGTGGAGTCATGATTTTTTCATGACGGCCGCTTGCGTCATGAAAAAAATCACACGTCGCAAAAAAATCAAGACATTGAGAAACAATCAAGACATGTCGACACATATACACACGTGTATATATATATAAATATGCGCGTACACACACATATATATATATATATATATATATGGCCCG